TAGAATTACTTATTGGATGTTAGTGATCAAGTGGTGATGGGTATTGAGGCAGTAGTCGCTCCTTACCGGAACCTTGCAGAATTATGGTTTCACGAGCAGATTAATAAACAGGGATATATTGCAGCAATGCCTTATATTTTGAGTCTCTACATTATTACATTAAGTTTTGCCTCGCTTTTCCTTAGTTAGTTGCAATTAAGAAGTGTGTACTCCAGTTTGCACAACTACTTATGCAGCACAATTAGTATGAAAAAGTCTACTATAAAAATTGTGTTATGAGTGCAACGGTGCCGTATATTCAATATCCCGTGCACATCGATTTAATGCTTACCTTCGAATGTTTGAAATGTGAACCAAACTTCTTCAAAATTATGGTAAGCTCCTTGTCGAAAAGGTTATTTAGAATGAACCGCGTGATGAAGAAGTCGACAACGTTCTGCAGCCTTTCCAATATGTTCATACGATCAGTCGATGAAGCCATACTTCCTTAAAGACATTGCATTCTGGAGGGAAGATGTGTCCTTTTCTAAGAAAAAGAAATGTCTACCAGGTACATAGCTAAGGAAATTTGGCTCCCCAATAAATTCAGAAATTGGCTCCAGGTGTACTAGGGAGGACGCCGCAATAGACGTAGGTATATTCAGGATTTCAAAGACTCCTGCAAATAACCGTGCTCAACTTTTAAAAAAAGGTTACAGTAGAGAACTCACCAAAGCCACAGGCGCTGATGGGTTCTGCGATGCCAGCATCAAACTTCTCCATTCTGAACCGTGCCAACAACGCTTTATCGCTGATTACTTCTGTTCATTTGAAAAATATTTAATAATCGATAACATTTTACTTCACATGTAATATTTAACTTTAAGATTGCGATAAATATGGAAAATTCCAAAAAACTTACTTTCACATTGGCAACTGTAGGAGTATGTCATATTTTGAAACATCTGGGTAAAGAAACTTACAGTTGTTAGTGCTTAAATAATTTTATTAAAATACCTTCATTTGTGCAAGTAGACTAGGCCGCACAGTCCATACCTTACTGTATATCTCTTTTCTATGTTTGAAATACTCAGCCACTTGCGGATGAGTGGCAACCTTGATAACGTTGTTTGTTAATTTCACACCAGTCTTGTTTTCGAACTCAACATTCATTACCGGCATTAACATCGTCTAAAGTAATTCTCTTTCAACTCTTTTCTCTCCATGTCATGACATGCTGCTTCGTAAACTACTGAGGCAACAGACCGTGGAAGTACTCTCAAGCAAAATCTTTGACACCTACAACATTATGCCCAGCTTCTGTGAGAGTATCTGCGATGGCGCCCATGAAGTTGTTGTGCGAATAACCAAAGATTGGCGAATACACAAGAAATTTGTAAGCATCATTGAAAGATATAAGCTGCAGCAACAACAAGACAGGCAAAATCATCCCTAAAAATTATT